TTTGCGTTTGAAACAACACGTTGGAAGTATTTTCCTAGAATTGGAGTTTGAAAAACTCAAGTCATCTATATTTTAAATTTCTCATTGAAATGAGCTTAATTTTCCCGCTCTTCCATTCAATGAGTTCACGAAGTAATTAATGAATTAAGCCCCGCGGCAGCACAAAATATCAGTGTCCAAGAAGCTTTAGCCTTCCGGTTATTCCCAAATTTATTTAACAATGACAAACAAAAGCTTCAATCAGTAAATGTTGCCACTGCAACATAACTACTCATCGATCCGGTAGTGAATGGAGCCACAGTCAATCGTGCGTCTGGCCGAACCAGACAGGGAATCGTATCTGTGACTTTTGGGAGTGGGGTCGTGTCATTATTTGGGATTGACATAAGTTGACTTAGTTTGAAGGGAGTCGAGAAAATAAGGAGATCGTGTTTCGAAGAGAGGGATGTTTCTGATGGAATTGCACCAATTTTGTGGAAAATTTGTAAAGAGGCGTGAAATAGGTGAAAAGAGCACTTGCTGTTTTTCTACACATATAACACCTCCAACTCACCACCTCCCACGAAGAAGTGGAACATGTAAGGAGATCTTAAAATACAAGAAAAGTACGTGAACAATGAAACCATATTGGCTTCCGAGATATGAACATTTTCACACATACCGATCCCTTCTCCACCTCTCTAGACGACAGCTTTGAAGAGAAAATTCGGGCGGAGTAGGAATTTACCGATTGGTTTCAGAACACTAGAAACTGCCACGGTGCTGTGAGTGGCGGTTGAATTGAAGAATACTACCAAAACGGAAGCACCCATGAACAAAAGCAAGAGTACTGCAGAAAATTTCAAAATACATGCCAGTAAAATGATATTGGTTTTCCGGATCCAAACTATTTTTTGTTTAATAAAATTTTCCTGTGCCTTACGAGGTTGTTCGGTGGAACCTTTACCTTTTGAACTACCTCGTAAGGCACAAGAAAACTTATTAAACTTACACCTGACACGATTACAAGAAGAGAGAACTTGGAGAAGACTATTTTTTGTGTTTCCTCTTTTAGTACGTATTGATAGATTTCGTTCGATAATCAATGTACTGTTTGACAAAAGTGAGGGAGAGGTCAGCGGTCAGCGCAAGCAATTAAATGAGGTCACCCCACAGGCAGGTCTGAGGAGGGCGAGGCACATTACAGTAACCCTACTTAATTGCCCTTACCGTATACAGTTATATTCTGGGTGTGTACCTAGTTTGAAACCGGCTACGGTAGCCTAACTAGCGGATTGCTGTAGCGGGGTGTGCACCTTTAGTCAGGATTGACCTTTCACACCTCTTCGCTGTCGTTGCCTCACACCCTGCTCTCACTTGCCATTGGATAGACACCGCTTAATTGGCTGCGCTGACTGCTGACCTCAACCCTGTAAATTCATCTCATACAGAATATTGTTCGCTCAAGAAGTCATCAACACAAAATTAGTTTAAGTAAAGCAGCTGAATTTTAATTTTAGGAATCTGATTTCTAAATTTCAAAGCTCAATCTAGTAATTCCCAGCAGATGCAAGAGCGAGGAAAGTGAGCGAAAAACTCTCAAGATTTTTCAGATAAGCGACTTCATGAAATAGTTCTGGCTTATAACAAAGCAAACACTAGGTCATTCTAACCTCATTATCCCATTGTGCAGGGTTTAAAGATAGCAGAGATTGAAAGATGTAAAGAAAGTGTCGTTTTTTTCGGATTGCTTTGAAATTTTGTTGGTCCATTTTACATCAGAAACGCTTTCGACAATCGAGTAAATTAGCGATTTCAGATTTTAGAAACAGAAAATTTGCAAATTCAAATCCATACAAAGTTGACCAATTTGTGAAAAGCTAAGGAAGCTAAGCCCGTTCGAAGTGCTAAATGTAAGTTCATGGTTCAACAGTGTGTTGTATTGCAACCACGATCGCTTTCTACACCCCAAACTGTCTCTTATTGTCCCCTAGTTCGGGTTTGGAAATGATTGCAAGGAGGGGGAAGGTAGTACCTAAAATGAAAATTCCCCAACGCTCTCCCAACAGGGGTAACATTGCGCGCTGAGTCATCTAAGCCTAGTTCCTCCGGAAACGAAACTAATCGTACGCAAGCTTCTCTATAAATTAATTCAAATTCCGTAGCTTATTGGTAAAATGGGGAATGTTGAAAGAAAACCGGAATATGATCATTGAATGTCGTAGCACACTGATCTCGTAAATTGGTTGAATTTGGTTTCAAAATTCAACGGCGTTTCACTGTCAACATGCCTTGCAGCCACGGTCGCATAAAGTCTACCAGTATCTTCTACCTTTTGGCGCAAGGAGGATTGTAAGGAAGAGGAAGGTCTGAAATTGAAAATTCCCAACGCTACCGCAACAAAGGTTAAATTGCGCGCTGAGCCATCGAAGCATAGTTCCTCCAAAGCTAAGCTAATCGTTAGTTAATTTTCTCTATAAATTAATCCAAATCCCATAGGTAAATGAAAAAAAAACTGATATTCACTGAACGTCGTAGCGCACTCTTTTCGTGAATCACTCGTAGTTCAAGAATACGATGGCAATTTTGGAAAGACAAGTGATAGGGGAAAAAGGTATTAGGAAGGCTAATGGGCAACGCTGCGATAATTTCTAAATTATCGCAAGGTTAAAAAATAGCGTTATATTGGTACTTTGCTCAAGGAAATTCTCCAGCAGAATGAATCCGAATAGGAAATTAGCACGTCCCCTGTAGCTGAATTTTCAGAGTTGTATTTTCTTTACTCTCATATCTCTGAAAAAAAAGATAGACTTGATAATCAATACTGCTCATGAGAGCGATTTGTTGGAGCGAGGTCAGCGCTCAGCACAGCTAATTAAGCAAGGTCCAGCCGTAGGCAGGTGAGAGGGTGGTGCGAGGTAACGACAGCGAGTAGGTGTGAAAGGTCAATCCTGACTAAGTTCCCTCTCCCCATCTAAGGTTGCCAACCCAACGCAGTCAATTAACGGGGTTACCTCATAGGCGATTGCTTATACACGCGAGTTGGCAGGTGTGACATAGGGAGTGTGAGGTCACTTGCATCTAAAGTCCTCCCGAGTACCTCCACCCTTATATTCCATGTTCCGCCACCCCGGCTAACCGGCTCAACACGTTATACGTGTGAGTGCTGAAAGCTATGGTACGTATACCATGAAGAAGCTGAGTTGGGATGAAATGGTGCCCCGGTAGCGTAACTGGTAGCGCACTTGCCCGGAAAGCGAGAGGTGCGGGTTCTAGTCCCGCCTGGGGCGAAAGTTTTGTTCACAACCTACGCCATATAGTGAAACTTGAGTACACTTTTCCTCTGCGCGAAGATAGACAACGATAGTGTAACCTCGCCATAGCAATTATCTATCACACACTGCAACAGTTGTGTAGTGAGTACATGCTGTATCACAACTCCAAAACGGTCGTGGCACAATCATTTCGAAGTAACTTCACAGTCATTCCAATAATTGAAGTGTGAAGAGCGAAATCAGCGCAGGGAAGAAGCTGGACGAAGAGTCAAGAATGGCGAAACTTGGGAGCAGGGTCGGTCCTACGTTGCTACAAGTAGCAACGGGGGGTCGTACTTTGATGAGTTTTTGGAGGGGGGGGTCGTACATTTTGACGAGTTTGTAGAGGGGGGGTCGTATATTTTTATGAGGTTGTAGAGGGGGGGTCGTACTTGCTTCGATTGTGAGAAGTTGCATGAGGTGAGGGAGGAGTGGCGCGGGAGAAAATTTGCCGTTTCAGCGCGCGTATATATCCCCCCTTAGAAAATGAAGCGTGGGATTAAAGGTAGGAGGGGGTAAATTGGTGGAAATTTAGGTAATTTTTACGGTTTCAGAGTGACTATATACCCCCCGCTCGACGGCATTTTGGAGGAAAAAGTGGGCGGAGTTTTCGTGGTTCGAGTGATACCAGAATGAAATACTATAGCGAGGAATATGGTGGTCGAGGGTCGAGAAGGGGGTCGTACCAAATCCACCTTTGGGGAGGGGGGTCGTAAAAATTTTTCGAAAAGTAGCAACGATAGGACCGACCCTGCTTGGGAGGCATCTGCAGTCCAGTCTACTCTGGCGCGCTGTATTATAGACAGATCATCCACGATAATTCTAACAGTTCGGTGATCCGGACGAGTTATCTGGCCGAGATATGGGCGGCGCCTGAGGTGGCAACTACAGCCCATGCGCCCCAATGGCAAAATGACCGCGCCATTTGGTATACACCCTTTGTATACGGTAACGCCGGGCTCCTTGAAGTAGGCACAGCACAGTGCAACAAGAGTAGATGATTTTGAAATTTTCAGGCCTTTACAACGAAGTATAATGAGACGGCAACGATCATTCAACCAGTGGTCACAGAAATAAATGATGCGAAATCAAACTTCTCGTCGGCCCTCACTAATTCTGCTTCGCTTCATGATCAAGCAATGCTTCTTACCAATAAGACCAATTGTTTCCAAGATGGGTCAATCAGCAGCTATTGCGGTAATCTAACTCTGGCAAATCCTTGATGGAATTTCGCTAGTACGCTACACAAGTGATTTCAAATGATTCGCTGAATAAAATTTACTCTCGCTTCGAAGAGTTGGAACACCAACGCAATCTTCAGATTGTTCAACAAAACAGTGCACAATTGGAAGGTCCAAAAATAACAAACAACAACAATTCACAAGAAATCTTACAAGAAACTTTACAGAAAATTCCTACTCCTATAATTTCCGAAATCGTCAAGTCCTGAAGGCAGAAAATCTTTGAAAAAAAAAACTATTTCACAGTTGCAATAGAACTCGCCGCTAGTTTATCGGGACAAATTATGTCATTCCCTCATGTGAGCAAGGAATCGCCACCAATCGCAGCTCGAAAAGAGAACGATAAGTACATGCGAAAAATACTAGCGCCTTCTCTGCGTGCTCCAGGCGAAAGAAACTTCAGTGAAACTATTCTCCAAAAACAAATGAATGTTTTCAAAAGCAGCGGAAATTGCTAATCTCTTACTATCTCTTTAGTGAACGAGGGTGACCGTTGAAGCAGTAATGTGACATGTGTGATGGCAGAAGCCATTTGAGCAACGTCCTCACGTGGTGTTCCTGCCAGTCTCGAGAGATCCGACAGCATCTAAGAATATAATTTTCTTACCTGAACACAGTGGTAACATTTCAATTGAAAATACCAACTTTATACGACTAATGGTAAGTGTGATAAACTGTGTAATCTAATTATATCAAACCGATAATTTTGTTAACGATTTCAAAAAAGACTTAAGAGGAACTCCGAGTTGGAAATATCGCGTCTTGATATTCGATTGGAAGGCGAAAAATGAGATTTTTTGAAATTTTCATACGATCACCAGCTGCACCCCTTTTGCATGCGCTCTCTTGCCTGAACAACGGCTCATGGTCACTAAATGGATGTGATCTCACAAATTTGAACTTTTGCAACGCTGTAGATGGCTTTTCACATACCCCGAAGCCGCTCCCCCTCCAGGGCTTAGCCTAGTGCCTTACCTCCCTCCTCGGTTTGTAGCCGAACTACTTGCCGCTCTCTAAGGCTGATGTCAGAGTCCGCGATCGTTTGGGCGATTTACGCGATTTTCGCGCGAAACCTGCGATGGATCACAGGAGTACACAAGGCACAACACACACAAGGCGCCCGCGAACTGTGCTGGAACATTTTCAAATTTCCCGCACACTTCGCGGGCGCTACCGGCTCGGCCGTGCTCGCCGCGGCGCCCATAAAACGTGAAAAAAGTAGGGGGGGGGGTGATGGGGGCACTTTCGATTCCTCATACGTCGCAGGCTTCGCGCGGATCACAAAAATTGCAAGTGCCCCATTTGAACATTGAAACACTGAATATGAAACAAGTGGAATCATGAGCAGTCGTCATTCAGCCATCACCATCAAGCAGAAGTGGCGGCGGGATTGGAGAACACCTTGCAGTATTGATCGGGCACTTGTGATTTCCGTGACCCGTCGCGCAAATCGCGAAAATCGCGCAAAGGATCGCGGACTCTGACACCAGCCTAACCGTCTGTGCTCGGGCCATTTGCGGGTCCATTAAAATCAAGTAGTCCGTAAACCTTCCCCGTTCCCCTCACCCCTGGCTCTCTCGCAATGTTTAGACATGCATCCGTTGAACTCCGCTACTGGTTCGAGGCAGATAAAGTTGAAACAGAAGTTCTGTGAAAAAAATGTCACTAAACGGAATCGTGTAAAAATAATGTCAATAATACCCTAACTTCCGGTAGATAAGCCCGCGCCAATATCACGTAAAAACACCTCCGCTGGTGCAGTGCACTTGCGTACATCTAGAGACAACCGTAACTTGCCCATAGGGTAATTCGATATGCTGATTACGAAAACGACATTCATTTTTAGCGGTGGCGCCATCTGGCGCCAGTTGGCGTCACCTTGTCACGACCCTTGTTTTCACCAAAATCGGTGTAAACTTCAGTATAGGGGTTATTTGGGGCCCTGATTACGAATATGACATTCGTTTTTGGCGTTAACGTTGTTCAGTGCACATTTCTCGGTTGGAGAGCAGACGAGCAGAAAATAGGCGCCAAATAGCGCCAGCGCCGAGAATGAATGTCATATTCGTAATCAGGACACCAAATAACCCCTATACGGAAGTTTACACCAAATTTGGTGAAAACAGGTGTCGTGACAAGGTGACGCCAACTGGCGCCAGATGGCGCCACCGCTAAAAATGAAAGTCATTTTCGTAATCAGGGCATCGAATTACCTCTATAGGCAGTTTCTAAGGTGTACAAAATTACACTGCACGAGCGGAGGTGTTTTTACGTGATATTGGGGCAGGCTAACCTACCGGAAATTAGGGTAACTGTCCCGTTCTTAGAGCCGCTGCAGATTTCGAAGATATGAAAAATTTGGATTACTGTCACTTCTACAAACTCTAAATTAATTCTACAAAAAGTTCAACACAAAAACTAGTCAAAAATCATTGCTAAAGCTTTCAGCCGCGGTCATTGCCTCTTTCAGTCTCGCGTCATTGCCGATATCGGCTAACCGGCTCAACACGTTATACGTGTGAGTGCTGAAAGCTATGGTACGTATACCATGAAAAGCTGAGTTGGATGAAATGGTGCCCCGGTAGCGCACTTGCCCGGAAAGCGAGAGGTGCGGGTTCTAGTCCCGCCTGGGGCGAAAGTTTTGTTCACAACCCAGCATTCTTGTGAAACATTCGCAAGGCGAACTGCGGCCAAAAACAGCAGTTAACAAACAAAAACAAGTCAAAAACTAAAGTAGATACAAGGAAATTATGCAAAGCACTGTGCTAGCTCAATGCAACAAAAACCATCTAGAGATGCTTTCATAATTTGAGCCGTGTGAAATGTGGCTAGTGCATACATTGCGAACAGTGCAGAGTGACAGCACACAATGCTGACAAAGGACTGAAGAGGCTGGTACTTAACTGGAAAGTGGTGCGTACCACTTCTCTCGGAGGACTGAGAAGAAGACTGAGCCTAAGCCTAACGTGAGAATTAAACATAAGCCACTGAGCGAGCATAAGCTTAAGCTTAGGCCAAATCACTGATCGCGCAGATCCAGTCCGTCCAACTATTAGGTTGTCTCAAAAGTTCGAATGCACGTTTTGGATCTTATGCTTCAAGCTCCTTCTGCAAATTCTAATGGTTAGGCTAAGGAGAGGGCACAACGCGTAGTAAGGCTGCTTTCATACTTCGCGCCGGTGCGGTCGGTGCAGACGGTGCCGACGGCGCCGACCGCACCGACAGTGCGAAGAGCGTCAATACGCGCTCTGGCGCATGACGCGTACGTTGGGCGCAGATGCGCGCTCCGATCGATAATCCTTGGTTTTGGTGTATTTCTTGTCTTTTTCGATGTTTTTTTTTGCGCCGTGTTCCTTTTATTCGTGTGTTTTCTGTTCATACTTATTCTTTTATGTCTTGATGAATACTTTTCAGTTGTTCCGCGGACGAGCGACGTCGTACAACCCCGTGTGAACGTGGCTTCCCGGTGAGTTCATCATAAGCAATTTTGTTTATTCGAGTGGACTCTATAATTTTAGAAGTTGCTTTTTCTTCGATACGATTTCCTGCTGGTGTGCGAAAGGCCGCCGGATCTTGGTAATTTAATTATTCGCACACCAGCAGGAAATCGTATCGAAGAGAAAGCAACTACTGGAAACATACAGTTCACTCGAATAAACAAAATTGCTCATGATGAACTCACCGGGTCTTGAAGCCACGTTCACACGGGGTTGTACGACGTCGCTCGTCCGCGGAACAACTGAAAAGTATTCATCAAGACATAAAAGAATAAGTATGAACAGAAAACACACTAATAAAAGGAAGACTGCGCAAAAAAATCGAAAAAGACAAGAAATACACCAAAACCAAGATTATCGATCGGAGCGCGCCATCTGCGCCCAACGTACGCGTCATGCGCCAGAGCGCGTATTGACGCTCTTCACACTGTCGGTGCGGTCGGCGCCGTCGGCACCGACTGCACCGACCGCACCGACCGCACCGGCGCGAAGTATGAAAGCAGCCTAACTTATAACCGAATTATGCCCACCCCAGTCGCCTTCTTCGAGTTTGAAGTGGGAGATTAAAGAGCCATGTTTTTCACGCTCTGACTTAAGCAGCTCTACTGAGCCACAAACCGATTGAAGCCGGAAGTAACATCTGCTTTGCGATACATCTCCTTGTCCTTGCCAGCCATGAGGTATCAGAATAGGATGGATCTTCTTTGCTCAGGAGACTACAGCCTGGAGAAAACCCTAGCTCAGGAAGGCCATAGGTGTCGGATATGGACAGACTGCGTTCTTTCGTTGAAGCCAATCGCACAGGGTGATCTTTATGTAGCCACCTTGGTGTCTCAGGCACAGTTCACAGAGGTTCTCGCTCCTTCATAGAAAGGGTTGAAGCTCTGCCAAAGATTCCCTCATGAATTGACCACTGATGACAGGAGTGCGACACGAGTCCCGTCTATAATTTGTGTCCTACTCCATCCGTACGCCCTGGTTGAACAAAGCCACTACTGCAGTTGAGAAGCTCAGGTTTCATGACAACCACACCTAGAATCCCAGGGACTGGATCGAACAGAAGAGGGTGAAAAATGGTCAAATTCACCACAAGGTCATGCTCCGCCTTTTTTGGAACGTTCTCGAGTTAACCAGTAAAAATTCCTCCCTTGTTCTAGCCATGAAGTGAGTCATGTCTAGTGTGACTCACGGCGTATCTCCAACAACTTTCCTCAAAACTCAAAAAAAAATGCGCCCGCTACGCGACCATAAAGAGCAAGCGTTTCGAAAAATACCAGGCTCTAGATATCGAAGCTTAGTTGAAAATTTCTACCCTATCCATCGTGTAGTGGTGAACAGCATTCCTTCGAAGGACGTCTGATCTTCTCGCTCAGCAATCATCTTGCGGACAAAAGAAAATAGGCATGTGAAATTTGACTCACTGCCTTTTCCAGCTCGTAACTGCCAGCCTTCTGAGAGTTAAGCGGCCACTCTTCGGTTGGTCGTTGGCAACAAGTCACTGATAGTGATGGTACATATAATGATGATAGATAATGCATGTGCTTGAGAATAGAGTAGGCTCAAAAAGAAGTTCAAGAATACGCACGAACTTTTGAAACAACGTAATATAAGGAGAACTGAGCGAATCCTTCGGAGAGGCAATTTTGATGCATATTCCACCCCGCCAAAAGTGTGGAAGCAACTAAAGAAGGACAAATGGAAATACCAACGAAAACCAAAAAATACCTGCTCATAGTACTGTGCAGCTAGTACACACATAGCTGCAGCCGCCACTGTGCTTGCACCGAGCAGCATCCAGTCAGCCTTGACACGCTCAACATCAGCCCTAGAACGTTATTCATGTAATGCCTTATAAGTGGCATTCAAAATAGTAACCGAAACCTTGGAATTGATTTCAATACCTCGACATTTGCAACTGCTGACTGCAATACAATTTGATAAACCTGGAATACAAAACACCTAATAGTGTGGTCATACTTTTCGAGCGTCCAGCGTCCAGCTCGAGTGTAGAATAGATACGTATGCGATCGCACGAACCGAACAACCGCAAGACCGCGCGATCGATGC